TCTCTCTCTCTCTCTCTCTCTCTCTCTCTCTCTCTCTCTCTCTCTCTCTCTCTGTAGAAATGAAGATGCAATAAACCAGATGGCTGTCCCCCCTTTCCCGACTCCCCCTCCTCCCCCTGTCCTCAGCCCCGCCAGCCCTGAGGTAACAACACACACTTAAACACAAATATGCACCCACAGATACATATGTGGCCAAAAGTATGTATGTAGAATATCAGATATGCATCAACTTTTTTTGCCATTACACCAAATCCTGTTGAGAATTTACTAATAGTGCAAAAGCATGGACACAAAAACATTCAACACAATACAGCGATAATAAAACCACAAACATGAGAACATTTTAAAATACACAAAGTACTATGATGTAAAAGATAAATGCAGCTAGAATTCAGAGGTTAAAGGTCCATATAGTCTAAAGGCAGATGTCCATGGGTTGTTTGATTATATATCAGGTCTAGGTTCTGTATTAATACTGTGAAAGTATCAAAGCCTCAGTCCACAGAGAAATGCACACAGCCTGTATTCAGAAACTGAGCCTTAAAACCAGCCGTCAGGACTTCTGTCACTTTGTGATGTCACAACAAAGCAATCACTAAGCCCTGCCCACCTGGACCCACCATCCAAACTTGCGGGATTTGGTTTCTCTGAGTATTTACCTGAAATCTTGTATATTTTCATTGGATCACTCAGAAAACTGTGAGCCAATCACAAGAGAGGCTCAGAGCCTCATCTCTTCTGATTGGCTCACCGACCTGTTGTAGAGCTCCAGAGAGAAGCCTGAGAGAGGAGATGTAAAACTACATTGAGATGGTTATCTTCTAATGAATCAACACTTCAGATAAAACACAAGAGAAAAGGGAAATATGGAGCGTTAATGTAACTGGCAGATTCAAATAAATCACTCAAAGTGTGTGTGTGTGTGTGTGTGTGTGTGTGTGTGTGTGTCAGTGTGTCGCTCCAGCTCCTCCCAGTTTCCCCACCCCCACAGACGGAACCCACCCCCCTGACAGCCGGATGTCCCCCCCATCGTCAGACATAGCGGTCAGTGTGAACCTGTGGATCATTCATGTTAAGCTGATTGTGTGATAACAGCAGAACTAAAGTGTGAACTGATGTGGTTCCGACGGACAGGACGAGACGCGCGACGAGGCTGAGCAGAACAACAGGAACAGGAACAGAAGCAGCAACAGTAACAGTAACAGCGCCCCCCAGAGTCTGAGAGAGGCCGACACGTCCAAACAGGTACTGAGCCCTGAACCCCGCCCTCAATCATACACTACAAGTCAGAAGATTTCAGGAAGACAATGAAGGTTTTGAGGAGCCTCAGAATGTGGTGTATATCACAAATACACAAGATTAAAGGATAGGTTCATATGTTTCAAGTCTGAACACAGTAGTGAGGTAGTCATCACATGTACTTTTTTCTATTGCAAAATTCCCTCTTTTTATTTCCCCAGACAGTTTCCTTCCTGAGCCTCAGTAACACAAAAATAGGATATTTTACCAAAAACACTGTGACTCTGGAAGATTTCACTGAGTTACAGCAGAAGACTTATGTTCACTTCGTCTCTACTGTAAAATGGATTTTTTTCACACAATGAGGATTTCATCCTCCATCTCTTACACTGGACAGGAGGAATGATTTAACCTACAACTTTTTCAGTGTACATACGAGCATTTATGTGAGTGACACGATGTTTAAACACAGACTTGAAAAAGATATGAGCTTCTCCTTTAAAAAGAGGGTCACAAAACATCATTACATACACTATACAGTAAGTGTTATTTTCATTTCCAGTTGTTTCTGGCTGTAATGAAACTGAGAATCTTGAACAATCAAAGTTCACAATAATGAAATGCCCGTCTACGGGTTTTATGCTGAATTAGACAAAATATGTTGCCTGTTGAAAAGACTCAGCTAACACCAACATGTATGCTAACTGCTACTGGATGTTTACATGTTGGAATAGAACATTTAGCATTTAGCATGTTAGCTTCTCTCACAGATTGTGTGAGTATGAGTTCATCAGGACACAGTTAAAAGTCCACCTGGTGACTTTAGTAGCAGACGAACGTTCTTCACTCTAAGTTTATTGTAAATGTGCATGTTTTAACTGTGCTTCCTGTGTGTTCAGTGTGGACAGGGTGACTTATACAATCATGTGATCTGTGAACAGGAAAAGTTTTCCTCATCGTCTCACCTGATAATAACTAGACTTCATCCTCAGAGTGTTTTGTTCCAGAAACCTGCTTCTACTGACGAAATCAGGACACAAACACTTCCCCTTGACCCAGGCTAGTGTGTGTGTGTGTGTGTGTGTGTGTGTGTGTGTGTGTCTGCCCTGCAGAGGCTGAAAGCTGCTGAGTCTCCTGAAAATGAGCTCCAGGCTCCGAGGGCCTTGCTGGAGCAGCAGGTAACTATAAAATCAGTGAAATTTACATCTTTTAACAAATGATCAGAAACAAGTCTCTTTGAATCAACCAGGTCTTTCGATCTGATTGGAAAAGTTTCTGATACTAGATATGAGGCAACTCTGAAAAGTCAACTTTCTTGGATTTAATGATCTCAGACTGAACTGTACTTGATGTTGCAGGACCTGAATCACACTGACGCGAATCGGGTCCAAGTGTACTCCATCTGATCTGATCAGGTCTTAACCTCAAGAACTGTGAACTTCACAGCTCACAGAGTGTTCTGAAACTGAAAGTGAAGCCAAGCTTATTTTAGAAAAATCAGTCACCTGCAAGGTGTAAAACTGGAAGAGAGATTGTCATTTGTTTTTAATATTTGCTGTAAATTCACACGCCTGCTTATTTCTTCTAAAATATTACATTTCAGCAGCCTCATCTCCCTCTGTGTTTGCAGCTCGTCTCCTCCCTGTGTTCTGAGCTTGATCTGTCTGCTGCTTCAGAGCTGATCAATAAGTTTCATCTGATCTGTGTGTGTGTGTGTGTGTGTGTGTGTGTGTGTGTGTGTGTGTGTGTGTGTGTGTGTGTGTGTGTGTGTGTTCAGTCCTGCAGGTCCCACAGCAGCTCCAGTAAACAGACAGCAGCATCTCCTCCTCTGATCAGCCCTGACCTGCACACTGCCAACAAAGGTACCAATGCACACACACACACACACACACACACACACACACACACACACAGAAGAAGTCTGATCTGAGGCGGGATCAGGAACTGCTGTTGACGTCTTGGTGCCAGACACCACAGGGACCTTCAGAGGACTGTAGGGTTTATACGTCTGTGAGTCGGAGCTGGTCTGGTGGGGGACCATCAGGTGCTCATATTGTTTTGGCTCATCAGTGTATTTTGCCGCCTCAGACACAAACTAAAAAAAACGAACAATATTATAGATTTAACAATGATCTTTTAAGGGGAGGGACTAAACAAATCCTCCTCCTCCTCCTCCCCCTCCTCCTTCAGACCCATCATGCTGTGCGGTGGTTCCTGGTCAGGAGACGGTGCTGGAGATCTGTAAAGGTCGATCAGGACTGGGACTCAGTATAGTGGGAGGAAGAGACACACACCTGGTAACACACACACACACACACACACACACACTTCTATGGTACTACAGTGGGCTTGAACCTGTCTCTGGTCTCCTGCTCCAGTTCAGTAGAAAACTCTGAATACAAATGAAAACAAGGTCACATTTTATATATGTGATGAAACTCCTCTTGGGATCTGTTCATTTCTTTCATTTATCACATGAAACTCCCATATGTTGCAGTTCAGACAGAGTCACCTTTAGTTTTAGTTTTTATTCTTCCATGCCGGCGACAGTCATTATGCTAGAGGCACATTGTTTTCAGGTTGTCTGTCCGTCCGTCCGTCCGTCCATTCTCATGAACATGATATCTCACAAATTCTTTGACAGAACTTCTTCAAATTTGGCACAAACATTCACTTGGTCTCAAGGATGAATTGATTAGATTTTGGTGGCCAAAGGTCAAAGTTATGGTGACCTCAGAAAACACTTTTTAGCCATTACTCAAGACTTCACAGCAATTATGACAAAATTTCACACAGATGGATCATATTTTATGACTCTGGATAAACAGGGATGTAACCTGTAAATAGCCTGAGTGAAGGAGGCAGACAACCACCAGGAAGTGATTCTAGTTTTTTTTTGGTTGCTTAGGTCTTTTGTGCAACAGTTTAAGTGATTCCTTATGCATAAGACTAAGATAAGGAGAAATCCTTAAATACTGAAGTCAACATTTTAAGGAAACCTTAAGGAGAAGACTTCAGGGTGTTTCGTGCAATTGTTTTTATTTTAAGGAAACCTTAACTCAGACTTTAAGGAAAAACTTAACTCAAGGTGTTTTCTGCAACTGGCCCTGGGCACTTTAATATAGAATCTATTATTGTATTTCAGAGTGAATGAGCTGACGTTCAGAGCCTAAAGAACAAAGACTCTGTAACTGTACACAAACGTATGGTCTGGACTGTACCTTCTCTCTCTCTCTCTCTCCCTCCCTCTCTCTTCCTCTGTCACTGTCTGTCTATGTATCTCCACCAGGACGCCATTGTGATCCATGAGGTTTATGAAGAGGGAGCTGCAGCCAGAGATGGACGACTGTGGGCAGGAGACCAGATACTGGAGGTACTGGTACTGATACTGGTGACCATGTGAATGACACTTGTTTAACATGTTCATGTTGTGTTGTTTGTTGTTTCTGACACAGCTGACATGAGTTCATCTTCATAATCATTATTACTGCTAATTATTAGTGTTATTACTGTAAATGATTCTGTTACTGAATCAGCTCACTGCAGCAGAGAGCAAGAGTAACACTGTTTTACTATTCAGCTGCTGCTGGGTGTGAAGCTCTCTGCGAGCAGTAGCAATGCAGTGTTACTGTGATATAATACAGTGACACCGATCAACATCAACACGAGTTACAGATGTAGTCAGACTGATGTTTTTACATGTTCATCAGTGTTGAATATTCCTGCTCCAGTCTGAGGTTTCATCTGATTTTATTTTGCAATAAAGCAATACACACATAACACACACGTTAATTCACAGATCTAAAAGCACAGATTCAATCCAGCTCAGAGCTACGGAAGCCCTGAAAGGCAAATGAATGCAATGCAGTGATTTTTTTTTTCTGTGGGAAAAAAAAAACGTAGAAAAATGAATATTTGTATTCACTTGTCTCTCGGGGGTCGTTTCCACACAACAAGCCCCCATGAGACAAGAGAGAAAATATTACGTTTTTTAAGTTTGTTTTTTCCCAGAAAAAAAATCACTTGCCTCTCAGGGGTTTTCATACAGATGGAAAAAAAAACATCACTTTTCTTTCAGGGCTTACTTAAAGAGTAGAGACATAAAATAAAAATAAAATAAGATAGAACAAACTATATGTTTACAAAAACTGTTGAAACGAACAAAAGAGGTTTGATAAAAAACTTCATTGCCTCCTGCTGCAGGACAGACGGTTACAAACTGATGAGTCAAACAGATTAAAGTCTCTCATCTCAGGCTGAGCAGTGTAGACGATGGCTCTCTCTGCTGGACAAACACTGATAACACATTCACTTCTTCTGCTGCGCCTGGTGCTTCCCATACAGACATGTGATATATGATATGTCCCTATATCAAGAGTGATGTTAACATATATGTTAACTACAAGGGGATATATTATTATCACATATATATGTATCCTCTGGATATATGAAGACATAAGTTCATAAACTTTATGAGATACCCATAGTAAAATGTGTGTATGTACATATATTGAAAATATCTATGTGATGAATTTTTGTATAGTATAACATGTTGCAGCCTTATATGTTAATATTTAATTTATACATAAAAGTTCATTAAAACAACATACATATATAAATGATATATGTATACATATGTTTTTCATACATATGGAAAGTGGTCTCAGACTTTTGAACTCTACTGTTTATAATATATCGTATTATATTACAGGCTTTGGAAATGATATATATTTATGTAACATATGTCTACAAGATAAGCTAATATACATAAACATACATATTTGTATTGACTCGACACATATGTCAATATATGAAATTGTTCCAATTTCTAATAAGTTTCATATAGAATTTTTACATATATTTTATTTTATATGTATATGTACTTAGGCCCTATATGTCAATATTCATAAATTATATTTGCGTATGGGTTGTGTGTGTGTGTGTGCGTGCGTGCGTGTGTATGTGCGCGCGTGCGTGCGTGTGTGTGTGTGTGTGTGTGTGCGTGCGTGTGTGTGTGTGGACTTCTTCCATTATATTTGTGGGGTCTGAAAACAGTGAGCCCAATATACTTGTGGGATTCAACAGCTTTGTGGGGACCGAAAATGCTGGGCTCCACAAACAAAAGAATGCATTGTGTCTGCCACCGGTCCACATGAGTATGGCTATGTGTGTGTGTTCAGGTAAATGGCGTGGATCTCCGCAGCGCATCCCATGAGGAGGCGATTGCTGCCCTGCGTCAGACGCCAGCGAAGGTCTGTCTGATGGTGCTGAGGGACGAGGCTCAGTACCGAGATGAGGAGAACCTGGACCTCTTTAAGATGGAACTGCAGAAGAAGAGTGGCAGAGGGCTGGGACTCAGCATCGTCGGAAAGAGGTCCACCTTAAACAACGACACACAGAGACAACTGTACCACCTGTAAGACAAACACCTTCAGTTATTGTTAAATGTAATAAAAAAATGTGTGTGTGTGTGTGTGTGTGTGTGTGTGTGTGTGTGTGTGGTGGTGTGTGCCTCGTTACTGCATGTATGTTGTGAGATGTAGTTCGGTCGTCGCTTGGTGCGTGTGTGTGTGTGTGTGTGTGTGTTAGGAGTGGTAGTGGTGTGTTCATCTCTGAAGTGGTCAGAGGGGGCGCTGCTGAGCTGGACGGTCGTCTGATGCAGGGAGATCAGATCCTGTCAGTCAATGGAGACGACACGAGACACGCCTCCCAGGAAACTGTGGCTTGTATACTGAAGGTAACACACACACACACACACACACGCACACACACACAGAGTTACAGTTTACAGTTCAGAGTCAGTTCAGTCGTTACATGAGTGGGAGTGGGACACAACCAAACTCTGATCCTCACATGTAGGTTGGATTGTCACAAAATCACAACAGCCAGCATGATAATCTTATTTAGCTTATTGATGTTGATCAGCACTGAGATGTAACACTGGGTTTGTCACGTGATGCAAAGTAAAAGTCTGTATGTCACTGTATGAAACTACAGAGCATTCAGAATAAAAAGACAGCTCTGTCTCCTCCTCTGCTCAATAAATATTAAATGTCGTGTCACTGTTCCTCAGATGTGACCACCTCACCTGGTACCTCACCTGGCCAACAGCACTGTTCTCATACTGCCTACACACTCTGTGTGTAGCTGGAACATGAGACATTTATCTGCTCAGGGGTTGAATCACCCGACACCAGGACTTCCTCTGATTCTACATATGACAAAACTTGTTTTTAACTGACTGACTTACTTACTGACTGACTGGGTGTAAACATATATTTGAATATTTGAATATATATATATATGTATATATGTGTGTGTGTGTGTGTGTTTTGCAGTGTGCTCGGGGTCAGGTCCATTTGGAGCTCGGCCGACTCAAAGCTGCATCCTGGATCTCATCCAGGCGCAACTCACAGGGAAGCCAGGTGTGTGTGTGTGTGTGTGTGTGTGTGTGTGTGTGTGTGTGTGTGTGTGTGTGTGTGTGTGTGGTGGGGTTGGGGGCAGTTGCACAAAACACCTTGAGTTAAGATTTTCCTTAAAATTTGAGATAGCAGTGCACTTCTTTAATATCATCCCTCCCAAAAGTGATCACAGATATCACAAGCTAATGGAAGCAAATCAACAGTCTCCATGGAAACATTAGAATCTTACTGTTGTAAAATCTCTTTCACTGCTGTAAATGCAACTTTTTTCCTTAACTAGGAATTACTTAGACATGAAAGCACTTTTTTGACATGTTAACAGTCTGTTCACATGTAAACAGTTAAACAGCCTGTTTAACAATCTGGTAACAAACCAATAACAAACTCAGATGACTGTATGTGTGGATGTAAACTCTCTCTCTCACAGATGAGTCGTGTGAGTGGGAACAGCTCAGGTGTTGTGGCTCCGCCCCTCATGCAGACCCCAACCTCATCCGACCCCCCGACCTCCGACCCCCTGACTACAACCTCCACCGGGCCCCTGGCCCTCAATAGCAACATGAAGCCCACACCTGATATCACGTCCTCCTCTGCAGGTAGAGAACATCTACATGACATAAGACCATAATCAGAATAACTGATATTGATCATGTTGGTTAGAAGTTAAATGATCAATCAATTTTTTTACCAGATAGAAAAAGGTTTTTTTTTTTCACTGGTTAAATGTCAATCAACCTTGTCTGTGTATGTGCAGGGACAGATGCAGGGATCCGTACAGTGGAGATCACAAGGGTAAAGTCCTCACACACACACACACACACACACACACACACACACACTTCATGTTAATCTTGCTCTAACTGGGCTCAGTCTGCAGGTCCTTTAACCCCTGACCTCTGTACTTGATGGTGTCAGCAGCACACAGAATCCGTCACACCCTCTAATCCCCCTCATCATCTCTTTACCCCCCTCCTCTCAGGGTGTCAGTGACTCTCTCGGGGTGAGTATAGCAGGGGGGAAGGGCAGCCCGCTTGGTGACATCCCCATCTTCATTGCCATGATTCAGGCCAACGGAGTCGCCGCCAAGACGCACCGACTCAAGGTAGAGGGAGCGTGTGATAGTGTGTTAGTCTGTACATGTATGTCTGTATGTCTAACTGTGTGTGTGTGTGTGTGTATGTGTATGTGTATGTGTATGTGTTTGTGTTTGTGTGTGTGTGTGTGTGTGTGTGTGTGTGTGTGTGTGTGTGTGTGTGTGTGTGTGTGTGTGTGTGTGTGTGCGTGTGTGTGTGTACGTGTGTGTGTTTTCAGGTGGGCGACAGGATAGTCAGTATTAACGGTCAGTCTCTGGAGGGTTTGTCACACAGTGAGGTCGTCACCATGTTGAAGAACAGCTATGGAAACATCAGCCTGCAGGTAACACACACACACACACACACACACACACACACACACACACACACACACAGGAGAAAAAGTGATAATTCAGTATAGTCTTTGTTTCAGTCCATTTATTAATGAAGAACATTTTAAAGAGCCCCCTGATGTGATGAGATGTAAATAAAGTGAATGAATAAAAGTGTGGAATGAATAATCCTGGATAAAATCATAGAAATACAGCATTGCAAAGACATGTCATTATGATGACTGTTAATCAGACAGGTTTTAAAGAATAATTTCAAATAAATCCCAGCCTCATCTGGCTTCTGACTTAGTCTGGTTCTCATTCAGAAAAGAGCAGAAGCTGAATCTGCAATGAGACAGATTTTTTTTTTTTACTTTCCACCAGTGAAATCAGTAGACATAAATCCTGCTGTCAGACAAAAAGACAAACGTACGGTCTACAATGACTTTAAAGCGCCATATTTTCTTCTTCTTCTGTATTTTTTTTTTTTTTTTGAAGTGTTGATCCATAAGAAGATATATTTGTGGTTTTAAGAACCAAAAACCAAGGATTCATAAACCGGTGTATTATTATTAATGTTACAGTTTTCTGCAGCTCATATTGATCAAAGTTACTGCTGACTGAACATACCTGCGCCTGTGTGTGTGTGTGTGTGTGTGTGTGTGTGTGTGTGTGTGTTATCAGTGCGGTCCAGCAGGCTTGCTGTTGCATCCAGGACAGGCCTTCATGCTAATAGAGCTTTTATCAGCCTTCAGCAGATACACATACAAACACAAGCACACAACAGCCTCTATTCTTCTTCCTGCGTCTTAAAGAATGTGTTCCGCTAAGATACCAGAGTGATGTCTGTAACCAGGTGTTTTAACTGGATCTCTGCTTTACTTTTGTAAGTTCTGTTAGTTCGGCAGAGAAAGATATGATCCCTTCTAGATGTTTGGTTTTAAATGTAAAGAGTTTCCATTAAGAGGAGAGCAGGATCATGACTGAAATCAAAAGGACTGCAGAACAGGAGCCGTTTTATTTTGGGCACATTATTAACAGGCTGAATTATCTAAATTAAACTCTGTTAAAGCATTTGGCACTATCTTTTCTTTGTGTGTGTGTGTGTGTGTGTGTGTGTGTGTGTGTGTGTGTGTGT